GAAGTAATGAATTTAGGTAAAGGGGTGCAGAGCCAGTGGTGGTTTTGTAGGCAAACATCAATGCCTTGAATTTAATGCGAGCAGCAATTGGTAGCCAGTGCAAATTGATAAACATACGAGGTGTGACGTGCATTCTTTTTGGCTCATTAAAATTTTATCTTGCTGCTGCGTTCTGGATTAATTGTAAAGGTTTGATAGAACTGGCTGGAAGACCTGCCAAGAGAGCATTGCAATAGTCCAGCTTGGACAGAGCGAGAACTGGATGGTGAAATTGTGATGAAACGATGGGTTTGCTGGAACCACAAGCAGTTGAGTTGAAGGTGATGGTTTAATTCGCACTCATGCTCCTAAATAAATTTTTCAGTTCACACATCTATTTTTAGTCGCAAATGCGAGTGAAATGCTCGCACTGTCGAGCCTTGAGCGAGCGCATCTGTGGCCACAGGACATCACTAGTTTCTCACACTTGGCTGGTGTGAACTTGGTCCACTCTTCTTCCACTCTCTTCCATAGTTTGGTAACTGTAGTGGGTTTCTTAGTCATAAGTTTTGTCTCCAAGGATTTTCCAGAGATTGGACTCTGGGCTGGCCATTTTATTAGTTCAGTGTTCTTGGCTTTAAAGAACTGCTTTACCCATTTTGCAGTGTGATGGAGACATTGTCTTGCATGAAAATTGCAGACTGATTGGGAGATGCTTGCAGGGAAGGAACTGCATGTTGCTGAAGTAGGTTCTGATAAACATTTGCATTCACTCTGCCATGTAGCTGTATAAGAGGCCCAACTCCTGCTGCAGAAAACATCCCCAAACCATGACACTTCCTCCTCCACCTTTCACTGACTTCTTTATGCACTCGGGCTTCAGTCTTTCCCCAGTTTGACGCTGAACATAATGTTTCCCATCAGTCTCAAATAAATTAAATTTGCTCTCATCATTAAAGTGAACTTTGGACCAGTTCTCCTCTGTCGACATGCTCCTCAGCAAACGTTAGTCTAGCCTTTTGATTCTTTCTACTGATGAGAGGCTTCGTCACTGCAGAGTGCGCTTTCAGTCCGACTTCTCTTAAACAGATTCTTCCCCTTTTCAGCACTGAACTGGCGAGCAATTCCAGTTGCAGTGTTGAACCGATTCCCCATTGATGGTCTCCGCATAATCCTGTTTTCTCATGCATTTGTCTTACGTTAACGACCAGCCTTTTTGGGGGACTTTAATAAATTAGTGACATTGTAAAGCTGCAATATTCTAGAAATCAGAGATTTGGAACGACCAACTCTTGCAATGGCTGAAAGGGTCATCCCTTTGGTCTTCATCTGGACAACCTGCTGTCGCAGGGTTTCAGACACTTTAGAGTGGCTTCAATGATGAACTGACTTTAACTGAAAAATTGAGTGTTTACTATTGCCCTCCTGCATTATCGATAGGGTTGGGTACCGAAACCCAGTACCAATATGGCACCGGTACCTATGTAACCGGTATGTACTAGAACCGAATCAGAATGCAGATTTCGTTGCCTCATTTCGGTGCCACTTAAATGCCTGAGAGATCGATTGAAATATTTGTCCTCTGGTTTTCAGAAACGGACGTAAGAAGCATCATCGCACGTGAAAAATAATTTCCCGACTGAGAAAATGCACGTGAACTGAAGTCGGAAAGCTCTAATAATACAAATCCAACAAATCTTTGTAGTAACGAGAGTGTCCGTTGTTTTTTACTTTCCGACTTAAAAGCACAACTGGGGAAATGAGAGCATCCGAGGAGCGCGTGAATGCAGTAATTACACTTGCTCTGATGGCAGCAGGTAACCTTCCGTTAACTAAGCTAAACATGCTTAAATTAAAATGCCTAAAGCTAAACTTCCCTCGTATTCACATATCTAAACCTGTTTTCCAACAAAAGAGAACATTATAACCTTTTTACTCCACAACACCAGTCAAATGCTTCCTTTTGTTTTCTGATGTGGCTTCTTGTCACAGAATGAGGCAGAAAATATGTTCCATAGACTACTTTAAAAAGAATACATCGATTAGCAATGGATTATAAATATACTTAATTATTATGAAAATACCATAGATGGCTTGAATAACACAGATAAACTATATTGTCGCAGTCGAGGGTTTATTGTCTTTGTTTTATCATTCAAAACATTTATATGTTCTGTTTACACAGTAACAGCTATAATAGCAATGCCTTTGTCCATATAAGGGATTTCCTGGAGGGTCACGCTTCTGTTACTTCTGTGACTGGATATGTGGATTTTCTGTGCGAGGGCGCCCTCTGGTGTCCAGTATGAATGAAACAGACATGTGTTTATAGTGCTAATGGCCAATCCATCATTTTTTTGGGGAATTTTTATTTATTTATTTATTTATTTTTTAATAAATATCGGTTTAGGCACCGGAACCATTTTAAAAGTATCTATTTGGCACTGGTATCGAAAAAAACCCAAACGATACCCAACCCTAATTATCGACACACTATCGTCCTGTTTAATACTGTAAAGCTGCTTTGACACAATCTGTATTGTATAAAGCGCTAAATAAATAAAGGTGACTTGACTTGTTTGTCATATAATTAAAGAAATTAGCACCAGGTGCCAGATTAACACCAATAACTTATCTGTATCTGTATCTTATATCTGTAAGTGTTATATCTCATTTAAGTTTTTTATACTGTGCTTCAGAATACAATTAATTTATGAAATATGCTTAAAAAAGTGCCTTTCTGCTCCTGTTAGAATAACGTCAAGTAATGACCTTGAAATTTAGGAAATTGTTGTTTTGTTCTCTAGTTTTGATCTCCACTGTATATTATATATAATATAAACATATAAAAACATACAGTAATATATACTGTTGATTAGTTTCTCTAATGAAATGTTCTCTCACAAAAAAGAATTGTGTTTTTGTATTATTTAAAGTCTTAAATGCTGCAACCAAATTGCATTTGGGAAATGAACTAAAGACAAACTGAAGTGAAGTAAAGGTGTGAGATCTGTGAGTTCAGGTGAAGCAGCTGCGTCTGGAGCGAGAGCGGGAGAAGTCCATGCGCGAGCAGGAGCTGGAGATGCTGCAGAGAGAGAAAGAGGCCGAACATTTCAAAACGTGGGCGGAACAGGAAGACAACTTTCACCTGCAGCAGGCCAAACTGAGGTCACGCTCTTCAGACGTGTAGTGTTTTCATACATACATGTGATTGGACCATTTGTAACGCGTTTCTGTGATGTGATGCAGGTCTAAGATCCGGATCCGTGACAGCCGAGCGAAGCCCATCGACCTGCTGGCTAAATACATCAGCGCTGAAGACGATGATCTGTCGGTGGAGATGCATGAACCGTACACCTTCCTCAACGGACTCACTGCCACAGACATGGACGACCTGCTGGAGGACATCAAGGTGTGTGATGACAAGAGAGATGAAAGATCATTTTAACACGTGATTGGGCTGCCAGTTCAGACATTTTTACACAAAATAGGATTCAAATGTGAAGTAACAGTCATATTTACACAAGTTCAATGATGATTTTGATCTGGTTGTGTGTTTCTGGCTGCAGGTGTACATGGAGCTGGAACAGGGCAAGAATGTGGATTTCTGGAGGGATATGACCACCATTACTGAAGACGAAATCAGCAAATTGCGCAAACTGGAGGCGTCAGGCAAAGGACCAGGTGATGTGATGACCCGCACTATTACATTTACAACCTGTATAGTTTACAGTTGATTCATTTTAGAGTAAATATTAAATGTTTAATTAATTTTAGTTATTTTAAGTTATGCTATTATTAAATAAAGTGTTTTAAGATTATATATACAGTGTTATACAAATGTTTTAGATAACTTGGTTAAAGAAATCAATACCTATTTTCAGAATAGATGCATTAAATTGACAAAATAAATAAATACATTTATAATCTCACGTAAGATTTATTTTTCAAATAAATGCTGTTCTTTCAAACTTTCTACTGATCAAAGAATCCAGTTTCACCCAAAAATATTAAGCAGGACAACTGTTTTCAACATTGATATAAGAATTATTTTTTGAGCTGCAAATTGGTATATTAAAACGATTTCTGAAGGATCATGTGACACTGAAGACTGGAGTAATGATGCTGAAAATTCAGCTTTGCATCACAGGAATAAATTATATTTTACAATATATTCACATAGAAACATTTATTTTAAATTGTAATAATATTTCACAGTATTACTTTTTACTTTATTTTTGATCAAATAAATGCAGCCTTGGTGAGCATTAGAGACTTTTTAACTGTGGCATATATTTTTTATTATTATACAGTAGTTTTAGTATTATTGTTAGATTCATGAAACAATGCAAATGAAATGTAAATGTAACCGCTGAAAATGTTACATAGGGGATATATGAATATTATGCAACCCTAATGCATTACGCTATTTAGTATATTTAAAGAAAGTCCAGTGCACAACCCCTCATCCATCTCTGTTTTTGGTGTCATGTCAGGTGACCGTCGTGAGGGCATAAACACATCCGTCAGCACAGACGTGCAGAGCGTGTTTAAAGGGAAGACGTACAGTCAGCTTCAGGCTCTCTATATGAACATCGAGAATAAGATCAAGGCAGGAGGCTTCAACCTGGACATCGGCTACTGGGAGAGTCTCCTGCAGCAGGTGCGGGTCTACATGGCACGAGCCAGGTGCGTATCAGACTAGTCACTAGTAACTGTCTAGTACTAGTGACACAGATTAGTACTAGTGACTAGTAACTGTCACGGGCCTCTGGGGATTTTTAGAGTTCAGTGATGTCTTACCTTATGGGTCTGTGTGTGTTTGTGAAGGCTGAGAGAACGGCATCAGGACGTCCTGCGGCAGAAGCTGTATAAACTCAAACAGGAACAGGGTGTGGAGAGCGAACCGCTTTTCCACATCATCAAAGAACAGCTGCAGAATGAGCAGCCCATGTGAGTGATTTCACTTTCACCTGACCATTCAGACTGATTAATTATTTTTTTTTAGTTTGTTTTTTACATTTAATTATAAATAACTGTATTTCCAAGATGGAAGAACAATTAACTGCACACAATCTAAATACAATTTTAATTTAACTGTAGTCTCAAATTACTAAAGTTATTCTTGAAATGTACCTAAAATATTTTTTTTAAATGTCAATAAATAATAATAATAACTTTATCCATTCCGAATCTAAATTCTGATAACTTTATCACTTCTGAATCTAAATGTTGATTATATGGCTGATAAATGCTAAATTACTATATTTCTGAGATAGAAATTGAACTGAACACAACCTTAAACATGCAACTTAGTGTGGTTTTGTAACAAAGTAGTATACTACCATTTGAAATGATAATTGTTGTATTCTGTGTAGTTTTATATATTTTTTAAAGCATGCATATACAATACCGTACTTCCTACTAATCAGTAATGCTAATATGTCAGTGATTCCATGGTGATAGGAAATCTGCAAATATCAGTGAGTATATTTTTAATATATTAGAATTCTTAAAATATTTTTTATATGTATTTAGGCCTGGAAACATCATGGAAATTGTATCTAGATACTCAGCTCAAATAACTCAGAATTTGACTTCTAAACTAATTATAAAATGGGTCATCACCTGAAACTGCACTATAAAATGTATAATATTTCAAAATGACCTTATCACAAATTACTTGATTCAATTAAATGAATTACATTTGAAACATACCCAATTTGTGATTTGTCCATTTTGTTTCCCAGTAGCCCTACAGCGGCGGAATCTGCAGATGAGGAGCCGGGCGGCTCTCAGCAAGGTGACGATGGAGACAGACGGACCAAGAGGCTGGATGAAGAAGAGGGTGAGCGGTCTGGAAGGAGCAGTCCTGAGGAGAGAAAGGGAGGAGAGGGGGAGGAGGGAGAGAAAGATGAAGCCCCGGAGGCCGTGTTAACAGAGGAGGATTTGATCCAGCAGAGTCAGGCGGAGTACGACTCCGGCCGCTACAGTCCCACCCTCCTGCAGCCCTCAGAGCTACCGCTGGACACACACATCATCAACGTGGAGGAGGACCTGCAGAGACTCCAGCTGGCCCGGACACAGCAGCAGGTGACCGGTGCGTATCGCTCTGTTGCTTCATATACCATAGTCAAATTACACACATCACATGCGTCAAGATTTCAGTAATAGACGTGCAGCAGGAAGAAAGGTCAAATATAACCTTGGAAAGTTGAAAGTAATGTGCACTTTCATTGTTTGAAATTTTTATAGATCATGTATAGAAAGATTTTTTTTTAATTGCCACCCTGTTCCATCTCTCTACTCCATTTCCTACTTTTTCTGCATTGTGTACCAAAAAAGGCCAAAAAATTTAAATGGTTTTACAGTGCTGAATAGGTGCAGAAAAGACAAAAATAGAATGTAATTTCAACATTGGCCATAGGGAGGCACAATAATTTTTTCCCTCCCTTTTGTAACTCACCATGCTGTATCAAGGGGATGAAAGTGCAGGAAATAGACTCAGGCATGCACTTAAATTCACCTAAAGGGTAAAGAGTTTGTGGATAGAAAAATATGTAGAAAATTAAAAAAATTGGGGGTTACAAAGAGCAGAAATACGGGAAATTGATTCAAGGAGGCACTGAAATTCACCTTAAAAACTGCCTTTAATGCTTCCATTCTAATGGACTGATGGTTACAAAAGAACATGTTTAACTTGAGATATTTTCAGGTTTCCATCTAAATTTGAGAATTTAACTTGGAATATTGCATAAAATATTTGCGAATTAAGCACTGTTTCCATTCCATGCAATGTGATTGGTTCACTGGTTAGTCCAGTTATCCAATCACATAATCTGTTGAGGCAAAATCACGTGTTTTGTTGCGTATCAAGGATGTTTCCATTGTAGTTTATGCACTACAATTTAAATTCAATCCATCCATACATGGATGGAAACCAAGTTCTAAAAAATGCGGCAAAGTGAATAATGTGGTCAACACCCCTAGAGTTGTTTCGTAGACCTGTAATTACAGAAAATGAATCAACATCATGTCAGCCAATTGGAAATGAAGAATTCAGTAATCTTGAAGTATGTCACTGTAAAGATTCTTTACTGTTAGGAACATAAAACTAATTTATCGTTCACATTTGTAAACACATCTGTAAAGATTCACTCATGCTAATGCTAACTTGTATTATCTTTTTGAACAGGCGATGCAAATGAAAGCGCCGAAGATGCATTTGTGCGTCGCGCTAAAGAGGGCATGGGTGGCGACGAGGCCCAGTTCAGCGTTGAAATGCCTTTGACTGGAAAAATGTACCTGTGGGCCAACAAATACCGTCCACGTAAGCCCCGCTTCTTCAACCGCGTCCACACCGGCTTCGAGTGGAACAAATACAACCAGACGCATTACGACTTCGACAACCCGCCGCCCAAGATCGTCCAGGGCTACAAGTTCAACATCTTCTACCCTGATCTCATCGACAAGCGCTCGACTCCGCAGTACTTCCTCGAGCCCTGTCCTGACAACAAAGACTTTGGAATACTGCGCTTCCACGCCGGCCCACCGTACGAAGACATCGCATTTAAGATCGTGAACCGTGAATGGGAGTATTCCCATCGCCATGGTTTCCGCTGCCAGTTCGCCAATGGAATCTTTCAGCTGTGGTTCCACTTTAAGCGATACCGATACAGGCGATGAAGAGGACGAGGTTGAGTTGTATTAGCAAAGTGTTGAATATCGGGAACACTGAACGTTAATCTTTAAATGCTGTAAAATTGGTGTAAATCTAGAAAAAGTACTACAATCTCTGTTTATTGATTTCATTAGCATCTTCCGTTAGTGGAAGAACAGGTGTTCAACGGAATAGACCTTAATATGTGATCTTGTCCTTGTTGAAAATCCTGTTTTGTACATTTCCTTATTTGCAGGCTCTTATCTTGCATTTGATTCCTTTTTTTTTTTTTAAACGTGTTTGTTGGTTGAGCTTGAAAATGCTATTTTTGTACTATTTGCTTTTGAGATGATACAGTAAAGATTTACTAATTTTTAATTGCTTAACGTCGTCATTTGTGCTCAATTTTAAAAATAAATTTTACACCTTGACATTTAATTTGCTGTTCATTGGAAAAAGCCATTTACAAAGAGAATTTACAGCATTTTAGGTACATAGATGGTATTAAAGTTAAAATGATATTTCTGCAGTACATTCATATAAAAAACACGCAACATAAGCTGCATTCAACTTTGAGTCTAAGATGCAGTCATTTGACACTTGTCTTGGTATCCTGAAGATACAGGAAGTTCATTCTTGTCCATGTGGAATTGCCTTTAAAGGCAACATACTTGGATTGAATCAACAACCACGGCAGGTTTTAACAAGATGGCATGTCTCATTTTTGCCCCTAAAACAGGAACACAACCACTGAAAATGTCCAAAGAAAGACTCTAAATAGTCTCTGCCTCAAACTTCAGGGCTCACAGTCAGTCCACCTGGAAACAAAATCATGTTTACAGGCTGCCAGGTTCATAAAATGATAACTTTTGAGCATGAACTAATCACTGGTTTTGAGTCAGAGTTTGTTTGTGGCAAAAGTTTGTTTTGTAGCAAGTAAACTACAAGCAAAACTGTATTTTCAGGCCATTCACTCCAAGTACGATAACTATAAAGTTGTAATAATCATTCTAATTCTAAGAGAAAAGGAAGTCACACCACAGCTATAAGGATAACACCAGAATATAATCGCCTATTGCTGTGAATACTATTATGGTTATTGTTATAGTTATCTTTATAGTTATCGTTCTTGGTGTGAATGTGACTTTAGGTCTATTAATGTGGTGTAATGTATTTCACATGAACCACATAAAAACAAAATTAAATGTGGTAAGTAACTTATATTGGTACATGATCAGACAGTCATTTCCTGTGTACGTGGGCAGCTCTATAAGACTATACTGGGCCTTTCCTAATACTCACACTTGTGTTCTTTGCATTGAACCAGTTGCCTACTTTGATGATGACTACGTTCTTATTTCCTGGATTTGGCCCAAGTGTTCAAGTCGGTGTGAAGACCGCAAAAACACTTTATGTTTTACCACCAAATTATATATCTAATATGTCTAAGCATTTTTAACCTCAAAATATAGGGCACATGAGTTCCTGAACAAGATGAATGATGGGATACACCTCAAATACTGCTCTGAAGAGCTATTAGAGATTCATTAGTGTGCTTTAATGGCACTGAGCTTTAGCATTTTTCAGACCTGGGACAGTCTTGCCAACCTGTCATGTGCATCCGCTCTCAAGTAGTCAGGACGGCAAGTGTGGGTATTGGGACAGGCTCTATGAACGGGAGAAGCTGCAAAACGCAATATGACGAAACTAGCAAGTCATGGCTTATAAATAAAACAGCCAATCGCCAACTTTTATCTACCCCATTCAAGTAGATAGGAGTTGGTTTTGCATGACTGAAATAGCTGCCCGGTGGCGTTGCAAATATGACCACCAAGTGATTTGAAGTAAAATTATTTTTAAAATGTACACCGTTCAATCTAGGCTGCTTATGTTGAAGTGTTTGGGATGTGGCTTTTAATGATGAGACCTTTTTTGTAATCAGGCTCTCAAAAAGTATATAACAATTTGGATATAGATTTATCGGCCAACATATCGGTTATCGGCTTTCAAAAATAAAGAATAATCGGTTATCGGTATCGGCCAAAATTTTCATATCGGTGCATCCCTAGATTTGACTGTCCTTGAAAAGTACTTTGGTGATTCTTGGACACAGTAAGCTGCAATGGAGACAGACCTTATGCAAAAAAAGTCTGATTCAGTGTGTTTTTTTTTGTCCATTGGACATGAACGATGGCATTTAGAAGGTATAGATTCATCAAGGACAAAAAGTGGGTTAAAACAGTTTAGTCAAGAGTTAGCTGCAAAAGAGGAACCAGCCTCAGTGGGCTTGGTCTGTATATAAATGACGATTAGCCGCATTAGCAAGTCTGTGCATAAAAATCTCAAATCTCAGATTCATCGTCTATATATTTCAATGTGATCTGACCTGAGGAACCAACAGTGGTTGAGAGTCTGTCCCTTTCTCTAGAGCTGGAGTACCTCTGGTCATTCACATGGTTGTTGTTGCTGTTCAAGTTCACCGTTGATGATGCTATTTTATGTTCTGGAAGCTGGTTCTCATACAGACTTTGTTCGCACCTGTTCTCCATGTCCTTTACCCTCCTGTGGCAAAACGGCAAAGGAAAATGCCCTTTGTACAGGTTCCAAATTACTAGCATAGCTAGAATTAGTGACAATAACACCACCATGGCCACAAGTGTGTTTTCTTTTTCCTTAACGTTGTGTAGTAATGCTGTAGTCCCAGATGCCGACCACATTTTTAGATCATATGCTACGTGCTGGGTTTGGTAATTCCGCTCTACAGAACTACAGGTGTAGTAGCCGCTGGCGTCTGCGGTGGCGTTGAAGATCATCAGGCTGTCGGACAGGATCTGGAAGGTGTTTGACGCTTTGATGGGTCGTCCGTTCAGCTGCCATTGAACCTGTGCCAGGTTGGAATATGGCTGGCACCACAGCGTCACGGTATTGCCATGGAAAAACGAGACGCTGACTGACTTACTGTCCTCTGTAACACAAGTTCCAGATGTTATTTTTAGTGTTTCTACCAGAAAATACAGTTTGAAGAATCTGGGATATAATACAAGTACCTATTTGTGGACATCGGCTGGCATTACCATAACTCAAATTCTGAATCACAGTGCTGTGGAAGAAATAATATTACAGCAATCAGCAATATGCCAATATCAATATTCATAATGGTGTGCGCAAACAATCATCACAAAAGTTTGAATTAAGAACACATTTTTGCATTTTCTGCATAATTTCCTGTAAAATTTCCATTCATGTGTACAGTCATTTTACTTTTGACAATAAGATGAATTACAAAAACCTCATTATTAGCATGCATATTACTAGCATATTGGCTGATTATTAGCACTCACAAAGCACATATTAATGCCTTATTTAGCATGACCATATTTTAGATCCTTAATCCTACCCCATACCTAAACTTATCAACTACCTTACTCATTATTAATGAGCAGCAAATTAAGAGTTTACCAAGGCAAAAGTTGTAGTTTATGGTTAGTTAATAGTGAGAACTGAAAAGTGGTCCCCAAACTAAAGTGTGACCGGTAATTCTCACTAATTTATGCCGTAAAGCTTAATACAATACAGACAATAAAGCAATAAAGACATTAAAACAAATACGACCATTATGTATTCATACTTTACTTCTTAAGCAATAATAGAATTTTATTGTATTACAGTAAAACAATGCTATTTTTTGCATGAGAAATGTGTTTAGCTGTCATTAAAATAGATTTGTAAATAGATTTATTTGACTTTTGACCTGGTTCTGTGTGTGCTGTTTATGGTAGAGCATTGGTCAGCATTGAGGTCCCAGCCACAGTACGGATCCCTGGCCAGAACACAGTCCAGACACGTGTGGTACCGCCCACATTCATTGATGGACAGCTGAACCACGCCCACATCCGAACCCACGTACAGCTGTTGTTGGGATGACATCACACATAACTTAACATAACATCTCTATAGACAATAATAGAAATTACAATTATTTTGACTCTTGCTTCAGTTGAACATAAAATATTCCTATAAAATTTGTTAGCTGCTATTTAAGCTTTGACTTAGAAAGCCATTCACCCTAACTTTGGTGAACCAGTTAAGCTACAGGAATAAAATTAGCTTTGCTGAAAAGAAACAGACACACACAGCTCATGATGTTGCTAAGTGAGCAATAAACATCAATAAATGCATCTGCTTATTACTTTGGTGTTGGAAAGTCGCAGTATCTTCACTGGCTCTGAGGGCCCAAATAGCTGAATCTCTTCCATAATGGCCATCTCGCTGTTATAATTCACAGCTTTCAGCACTGAACCGCTCTCTGATACATAACAGAACACAATACAATGCAGAAGACGAGACAACAATTTCAGTTAAACTCACTTACACAGCTAAAATATATGATATGATATGATATATGATATGATATGATATGATATATGATATTATATTATATAAGCCTATGGGCAAGACTTCCGGTTGATTAGCCGCTATTGGGAAATAACGAGAATAACAACAACGTGCAGTAAACGGTAAAACTGTTTGCACTACAAACCAGTGTGTTCATAATTAAGATAATACATTAAAATAATATGGTAAGACACACCAATTTTCAATATCAAGCAGCAAAATGAACTGTTTTGTACAGCTAAAAATAGCTGGACACGGATTAGATCGGAAGCTAGACCCATAGAATTTACAAATGGCCACGCCCTTTTTTACGGGAAAAAAAGTTGGATACTTTTGGAGGGTTTACTGATTATAAACACTACAGATTTGCATAAAGGCATCTTTACTTGTGCCAATGAACATGACTTGATGGCTGGTCCTGTCCAAGGCCGTTGCTGTGGCCACCACAATTCTAGTGAAAGCAGCGCCTCTCTTCACCAGCAGGGGTTTCTCTCCACTGGCCTTGACGGCCTGGTCCATCAGAGGCTTGTCTTTAATAAACTGTAAGGTTTTGTCTGGGAGATCCAGAGATTTGGTGAAACCCATTTCTCTGGCATGATTATCAATGCACTGTAATTGAAAACAAAGTGAAGGTTAGTGAACTCTGGGAATCAGTGTTATTGAACGAGTGCTGAACCAAGTTACTGAACAGAAGACTCACTGCTCCCGGTCGGGGATCGGGGACATCAGCTGAGTACATCACCCACTTCACGAACGACGTCTCAACGGTAACAGAAGCCTTAAACTTGCCCTTTGAGAACACGGTCTTGATGTCTTCAATTTTGTATGCACATACCGCGGAGTACTGAGAGGAGTCTCTGTTGATCAGAATCAATGTTTCATAATTAATGAACTGCACAACATCGACACTATTATTGAACTGAGAAGAAATACTGTCTTAGAAGAAACAAAAAGATCTCAAACTTACAATTGTGGGGTAAAGACAGCATAAAACACGCAGGTGGTCCAGTCACTGGGGCACAAGTGGAAAACATCCTGGACCAGAAGAGGCAGGTTGTTGTTTGGAACGGGACAGTCAAGCCTTGCTTTTAGAAAAGAAGTCCACTTCCTCTGCAGCGTCCTCTGCCCACCCAAGTCTCCCTAAG